TAATAATAATAACAATAAACAATAATGATATGCAAATATTCATCTTAATTGAAACCAGCTCTTTCTTTTTGTTGACTGATAATTTAGAAATTTTGAAATAAAGAACTTATTCTATTTGACAGTGATATAGTTTTACCGGTTCTAGCAGATCAGCACTTTCGTCGTAAGTTGCCATGAAGGACATTATTTTGATTTTGTGCTCAAACCGTTCAATTTTGACAAGCTGAGCGAGGAACTGATCCTCATCCGAAAGATCCGAGAAATTTTTATGTTCTAATTCATATTCCTTGAATTTCACTATTTCTCTAAAAACAGAATTTGAAAATATTCCATTCAGTCATCTTCTAAACTTACCAGGTTTCTTAATCGTTCAAATTCTACAGATTCAAAGCCTTATTTTTCCATCAATGTGAATCAGCAAAAAATCACTACTACCATTAAAGAGAAAAATGCTTACTCATGCGTTGGCGCAATCTTTATCAAAATATCAACGCTTTCCGGGATAAGAGCTTTCAGATCCATTCGATGCACAGCAGACATAATCACTGGTGCACTCATTGCTAGTTTCCGGCATGTGATTGCTAGAATAAAAACTATAATGATGCCACAACGATATCTGTGAGCGCATCCTCTTAAAACTTGCAAAACTATTTTTAATTATTTTGGAAAATATTTTTTAAGTCAAGATTTTAGTACAAGGAATCAAGGTCCTGACGGAGAAATTCAAATTTGACTCTGTCGCCTTCTCATGCAGTCTTAAAACCATAACAACTTCATACAGTCAATAGATAGTATGAGAATTTCCTATCTTTCTCATTTCCCATCTCTCGTTTGCTTCCATTCTCAAAGCTTAAAAAGTAACTGAACGCCTTTTAGAACATTTCACAGACTGTATGAAACATTCATTTATCGCTATCATAGAGGCGATTGCTAAACATAGGAATAACACACATATAAACATACATAAATACAGCAGAAAAATATTGCTGTATTTATAATTATCATTGTAATATCAGCTAAATAAAAAACTGTTAAGTCAACTGAAGCTAACCAATATTTTGCAGACGTTTCGTGTCCAAAATGGTATTTTTCTTGATTGTGCTACCATTACCGATACCATTTGGAGAATGTTGTCCCGATGAAGATGATTCGGTGGCGTCAGGACGTTTAGCAACTCCAATTTTGAACAGATCTTCCAAAGTAGTAAAGTCGATTTTCTAAGGTGAAAATTGATTGGATAAATTTGAAAAAAAAGGCTAGTGAATGGTATGAAAATGAGAAAATCTATGTTAAAAGAATAATGACACCAAAAGAACAGAAATAATTGTAACAACTTTTACTTCACCACAAATACTATTTGGTTGAAAAAAAAAAAATTACATCCATTATCTTTTCATCGTCAAGATTGTTGAAAACTGTATCCTTCACCTGATTTGGCTTCAGTGGACACCAATTC